ACAAAAATTCTATTGCAATAGTTCAGGCATGAGGTGATGAGGATGTTAGCAGTGTCAGAAGTTTGAGAGATATTATGGAGGTAAATTCCACTGACCTTGGCAGAAAGCCTTTCCAAACCCCCATGTGTGTTGACAGCAAACTGAACCTACTGAAAATGCTCTCATAACTGGAATCTCATTCACCAGTTCTGACCCCACACCCCCACCACCTTATATGCAAAATACATGCGGAATAAATACAAAATAATTTGATCAGGAAAGACATTAACAGCTAGGAGGATCAAGAAAGGCCTCGTGTTGAATTGAAGCTTGAATTGAGTTTTGAAGGACACTAGAGATTCTAAAACGTAAGAGTAAGAAAGGAGTGTAGTGCAGTCATATGGGAACTGGACTGGAACCCAGAATGTAAAAGAACAAAATATACAGAAAGTACCTGGCTCAGTTTATGCTCTCCAGACTTTAATGCAAATGTTGTTATCATAAATGTTATCAAATCCTAGGCTTCTCCTAACTTAACTTACAAACCTCCCAGGAATATTTGTATAATGTGCTAGAAATAGCTTTCTACAAGTTAGGAGACCTGGGTTCTAGTTTATGCTATGTCAATTCAATTCAATTGACATATATTAAGATATATGAACATATATTAAAGCATATATTAAGGTCCTACTCTAAGAAGGGCACCGTGTGAAGCACTGAAGGAAAGCATATGAAGGAAAAAAAATAGACCTCTTCAAGGAGCTTACATTTTATGTCATTGCCAAATACATGACATGGGGCAAAACAGTCTACCCCTCTGGACTTCTGTTTTATCACTGGTAAAATGAGGAGTTGAGCTAGATAATTTCTAAGGTCACTTTCATCTCTAAAATTGTATGACTACAATATATTGAAATATCCCCCCCCATCACCTTAGGCTGTTCGTTCACTACCTTCTGTAGAAGCTGCAAGCATCTGGTCCAAACCTGACTGAAACTGAGGTGTTAGTGCTTAAACACTATTGCTCTAATAAATGTTAATTGATGGATGGAATTAAAAGCTTTTCCTGCCTTTAGAACTATGCATCACAGAAAGAGAAAAAAATCTCCTTTTAGATTTTATTCTCCAAAGGGTCCTCTCTGTCATTCAGTTAGTAAGTCAAGGAGTATTTATTAAGCATTTACTATGTCACAGACCCTGTGCTAAGCACTGGAGTTATAAAGAAAGGCAAAGATGCTATCCCTGACTTTAAGGCTCTCACATTCCAACAGAGGAGAAAACATGTAAGAAACTTTGGCAGCTTACTAAAAGACAGGATAGAATAGAGTGGGGAGAGCTTTGAAGCAAGGAGACCAATCAACAGTCTTTGAAATAGTCCAGGCATGTGTTTTTATATATGTGTGTATGTGTACACACATATGGATGTATATGTAATATACATCCATGTGTGTATATATGTGTGTGTACTATATGTATATACAGTATACACACATGTTGGGTATATACATATATATTCTACTACATATAAATATAAAATATTAATATTACAGTGTAATTGGAAGGTGATCTCAGAGGGAAAGAGAGACTGTCAAAAATATGATTTGAGCTAGTTCTAGAGGACAGACAAGCCGGGAATCAGAGATGAGGAGAGAAAGCATTCCAGGCATCAGGGGAAGCCAGTGAAAGGCATGGAGTTTCCTATTTGAGAGATAGTATAAAGGCCTATGTTGATGAATGATAGAATATAGAAAGAGAACTAAAGTATAAGACACAAAGGTAAGAAGTGGTCAGGTTATTGATAGTTTTAAAAGACAAATAGAAGATTTTCATATTGTACACCAGAGGTGAAGGGAGTCATAAAAGTTTATTGAGGTAGGAAAATCAGATCATCAGGCTTGTGCTTTGGGAACATCAGCTAGGGGTCTGAGTGAAGGATAAACTGGAGTGGGAAGACACTTAAGGCATGCAAACCAACCAGTTAGATATTGCAGTTGTCCAGGCAAGAGGTAATGAGGTGACAGCACCATGGTGGTGGCTATGTGAGCAAAAAGGAGACATATAATGAGAAATGTTGTGAAAATAGGAAAGATAAGACTGGACAGTATATGCAAATGAAGAGTTGAGGATGACGCTTCAATCGTGTGAATGATGATGCCCTCAACACTAATAGGAAAGATCAGAAGAAGGAAGGGATTTTGTGGGGTAAATAATGAATTTTGTTTTGGACATGTTCAATTTGAGATGTCTAAGAAACAGCAGATGATTTGACACTGGAACTCAGGAGAAAGGTTAGTACTGAATATATTGATCTGGGAATATATAGATATTATCACTGACTCTGTAGAAGCTGATCTGATCACCAAGTGACACAGCACTGAAGGAAGAAGAATCAAAAGGACAAGAACAGAGCATTGGGAGACCCACACTTAGATGTGATTTAGATGAAATTCAAGTAGGAGAGACCGAGAAAGAGCAGTTTGACAAGTAGAAAAAGAAAAAGGAAAAGGCAGTATAACAAAAACCAAGAGAGAAGAGAGTATCAAGGAAAAGATGAACCACAGCATCAAAAGCTACAGAGAGGTCAAGTAAAATGAGGATTGAGAAATGGACGTTATGTTTGGGAATTAAGAGATCCTTGGTATTAAGGTCCTTTCTCAAAGGGAACATGTAAGTCATGGAGCCTATCACATGGGGCAAAGGAACATTAAAGTTATGACCTTTTATTCTTCAAAACGCAAAAATGGTGAGTCACCAGAGGTCGAGGAACCAAAGTTATGACAGATTTTTCAGTCATCCAATAAGGTAGGAGACAAATACCTGAACAAACTGTATGACCCAGCATAGTTAGAAGACAGAAAAGAGGGAACTGTAGCAATTCATTCGTTACATATGATAAATTCAGAAGTGCGCTTGGGGAGGCAGATGCTTATAGAAAATGCTTTATGGGTGAGCATGGAGTCAAGATGGAAAAGTAGCCGAAAACAGAATAGTGAGCTCTCTCCAAAAAGATATGTGCCAGACCAAATTCTGATGAGGAATTCAGAAAAAAAAAATTATAGTGAGTCATTTGTCCAGGCACTGAAGTCATTATAATTACATAGCATTCAATTTTGTAGAATTATTTTTAAAATATATGAACAGTGTAGGCCCATCTTCAATATTAGAAGGAGAGTACTCATGGTAGTATGGCATAATGAAAAGAACTCTGAATCGTGAATCAAAGGAACTAGATTTGAAACTGGGCTCTGTTACATTCTACCCATGTGACCTTGGGCAGGTGATTTCACTTCCTTGGCTTCAGTTTCTTTATTTGTAAAAGAGGGTTTTGAATTGAATAATCTCTGAAGTCTCTTGCAGTTCTAAATCTATGATCCTAATAGTTACATTGAATGAAGATATTTAGCAGAACTGTTAGGTCTGGGGTATGTTATTTTCAGCTAGCAAAATGGGGAATATTAAACTTAGCATGGATACCTATCAAATTATGTGGTGATTATTGTAATTGTCCTTACATACATCTAGTCCTTGAAGGCAGATAGGTAACTAAGTGAGCAGAGGTGCTGGGCCTGGAGTCAGGAAGATATGAGTTCAAATCCAGCCTCAGACTCTTACTAGCTATGAGACCCTGGGCAAGTCACTTAATCTTGTTTCCTTCAATTTCCTCATCTATAAAATGAACTGGAGAAGGAAACAGCAAACCACTCCAGTATCTTTACCAAGAAAATACAAATGGCATCATGAAGGGTTGGATACGAGTAACACAACTAATCAACTAAACAACAAACCTTACTAGTAAAGTGATCTTGGGCAAGTTATAGTAACCTCTCCCCACTTCAATTTCTCATTTGTAAAAAGAGGGGGTTGTACAAAAGACCCTCCAAGGTTCCTACTAGAACTAAAGCTGTGATCCTATGATCTTCAATCAATCAGCTTCCAGGGTGCAGATCTTACCTCAGAACTTAAATATACATGTGATCTCATTGATGTGAGTACTCTTTTCACCAATGAAGATTGAACCCCATGTACACCTACTTACCTTCTTTGATTTTGGTCCATTTCTTTCTCTAAATACTCCACAGAAGATCTATCAAATTCCTTACATGTTTTCCTCTTTGTTATTTAATATTTGGCAAAGGAGGGAGGAGAAATGCAGCCCTGGAGTCCATTCATCTGTCATCCATTATCCTTACCATCTGACCAGCCCATTTCCTTTTGGTTCGTAATGACTCATGGTATTTTTCACAAAATTCTAACCCAGCATGAGTCTCTCTACCATCCTTTAGGCCACATGAGGTTTTGATTCTTCTAAAATTGCTTGCTATGATTCACACAGCTGTGTAGTATTACAGGGAAAATATCATTGTTACAAAACTAAGTTTTTGTTGCACTTGCAGGGAGCACCTTGAGATCATTGAAAGAACTGTACAATTTCCCTGATATGATCCAGCCCTATATCTTTCTTCAATTCAATTCTGGGTTCAAGTTATTGTTCATCTATAAGTTAGAAGTACTTGTAACTAGATGAATGGGCTACTTGCCCAACTACATGTTATAATCTGAACAATGTGTTCTTCATCTGCTTTGTTTCTGTAATGTAGATATCAAGGCTGATTTTTAAATGCCCTCTAAATATCATTGAGAAGGCTCTGCAGTATTTTTGGGACTCAGTGAAATCACACAATGTCTTCTAAGAACACTAGCATCTGGATCACTTCTCCATTGATAGGGATTTCAGATTTGTACATAAGAATTTCAAATTTAGATTTCTACAAGACATTCTTAATGACAATGGCAAACATCTTTAGTGAATGTGTATCTCCCTGGGAGTGCTGGTCAACCTACACAATTTGCCAGCATGGACTAATTTGGTGAGCATATTCTTATTCATGTCAACAATAAGAATATTAAATAGTACTGGGTTAGAATCACTTCAAGCGGTAAAAATGGTCTTAGCCAAAGGTAAAGGCAATTATACCATTCTCAGGTTAGAACTGGCTGCAGCAATGGCAGAAAAGGGTGCAATGATTTCATCTCCTGGGAAACTATATGCGATGGCAAGAACTCCTCTCACTGTGTCCATGAAGTAGCAGGGATTATTAACTCTCTTAAGATGAGTGGATATGAAAATCCTAAAAAAAAAAAAGCATACTTGCATTTTAATGTTTTCAATCAATCAGTCAATAAACACTTATTAAGTATCTACTATGTACTAGGCAGCAGTTGAGAGGCACAGTGGATAGAGCTCCAGGCTTAGAGTCAGACAGACTCATCTTCATGAGTTCAAATCTGGTCTCAGACACTTACTCTCTGTGTAACCCTGGGCAAGTCACTTAACCCTGTTTACCTCAGTTTCCTCATCTGTAAAACAAGCTGGAGAAGGAAATGGCAAAACCACTTCAATATCTTTGCCAAGAAAACCCCAAAAGGGGTCACAAAGAGTTGGACGTGACTAAAACGACTATATACTAGGCACTGTGCTAAGCAATGGGGATACAAAAAGAAGCAAAACACAATCCCTGCCTTTCAGTAGCTTATAATCTAATGTGGGAGATAATATTCAAATGAATATATACAAAGTAAGCTACATACAGGATCAATAGTAAATAGTTAATAAAGGGAAAGTACTAGAATTAAGAGGGGTTGGGAAAGGCTTCCCACAAATGGCAAGATTTTAGTTGGGACTTAAAGGATAACAGGGAGGTCAGTATTTAGAGCAGAAGAGGAGAGCATTTTAGGCATGAGGGACAGTCAGAGAAAATCCTCAGAGCTAGGAAATGGAGTGTGTTGTTTATGGGGAATAGCCAGGAGGCTGATGTCACTGGATTGAACAGTACATGCTGGGCTTAAAGCATAAGAAGACTGGAAATGTAGGCAGGGGCGAGGTAATGAAGAGTTTTGAATGCTAAGTAGAGCATTTTATATTTGATCCTGGAAGCCATAGGAAGGCCTTGTTTTAAGACAAAAAGATTAATGGAGCACAATATAAGCTCATGAGGGAAGAAATTCATCTCTGTATCTCTAACATCTAGTGCCTTTTACATAGTAGATGTTTAATAAGTATTGAGTGGTTTTTTTGATCAAATACAAAGAATAGGAAGTGGAATTTCAATCTTTGAGATTTTGGTCCCTAGACTGGAAGAACTTCTGTAATCATATAACATTTAGGGTTTGCCTTGCTAAGCCACCATTCACTCAAATGTGAAAATTAAAGCTAGTAATTAAGCTGGCAATCAGGGCTTTTCAGCTCTTGTTGATTTAATAACCCTTAATTTGTAAAGACATATGCCAGGAAGACTGCATCTTCCCAATTTTTAAAAATGTAAACATAACTAATAAGCAGGCAACAATATTTGATTAAGTTTCGGAGGAAGAATAAAAATCTGAAAACGATAATAATTCAGTATATCCAAATGAAGCATTAAGGAAAAACTGTACAGAATGCTTATTGCAATTCTTAAAGGTGCAGTAATTTCATCAGCATGGGTGTTTCCACGACAGTTTGCTACCTCTCTATTATTTAGACAATAGTCTTCAAGAGTTATGCCCAAAATATTCATGGACATGAGGCCAACCTGGTGATGAACATCTCCAAATTTACTGAGGCTAGTTTTCAGACAGCAATACATAGTCAGTCCATTATTAGTCTACCTTTGAAACCTTTCCTGATGGCACCAGCCAGAGCTTGCAGTGGAACTTTTCTAGACTTATCCTTCTAGAATCTGGGGTCACTTCCTCTCCACAAAAAGGTATTCGATTGTGATAGTAGGATCATAGGATAGTAGGTTCAAAGCTGGAATAAGCCATTTATGTCACTGAGCCTAACTGCCTTATATTGAAGATGAGGAAACTGAATCTCAGAGAGGATAAGTAACTTGTCCAAGGTTGAAAGTAGCTGGGATTTGAACCCAGACACAAATCTAGTACTCCTTCCACTTAGTCCACTGTTTCACTCTTTAGATTATTACTGTGAAAATGATAGCTAACAACCCCTGTTTAAAGCCTAATATATAAAAGGTTATAGTTAACTATAAACTGTATCTTTAAGAGCCAAATGGAACGTTTAGGATTTGGTCATTTAGACTGGCACTTTTTTGGTTTTCTTGAGAAATGAGAGTTATTGAAAATATCTTTTTGTTTGTTTGTTTTGGTGAGGCAATGAGGGTTAAGTGACTTGCCCAGGGTCACACAGCTAGTTTCAAGTGTCTGAGGCCAGATTTGAACTCAGGTCCTCCTGACTGGGCCACTGCTGTATCCACTGTGCCACCTAGCTGCCCCAGTACTGAAGATATCTTAAGAAAAACTATGACATCAGAGAGGTATAGGATGAGGAAAAACTTTTTTTCCACTTGAGACAACGATCATAACTATTATGAGGAAACAAGATAAAGAAATTCTTATGAGGAATCTAGAGAAAGACTATTAAGAATGATGGCTTATACATTGTACAATGACTAGTATTGATAAACTTAACCCTTCCCAGCAATACAAACATATAAGACATCTCCAAAGGCCTCGTGATGGAAAATGCTATCCATAAAGAAGAAAGAACTGTGGAGTTTGAATGCAGATTGAAGCATACTATTTGCTATTTTTTTTTCTTCCATTGAGTTTTATTTCCTCTTTCTGGTGGTTCTTCCTATTGGTTATGATTCTTACTTACAACATCATTAATGTGGAAATATGTTTAATAGGAATGTATATGTATAGCCTATATCAGATTGTGTGCTGTCTTGGGCAGGGTAGTGAGGAGGGAGGGGGAGAAAAATTTTGAACTCAAAAGCATATGGAAGTGATTGTTGATAAATCAAAATAAATTAATTTTTAAAAAGGGAAAAAAAAGAATGATGACTTAAAAGAAGCTGAAGACACTGTTTTTCTGGTTTTGGGTTTTGGTCTTTTTTATGACTGGAGAAAAGTTGGAGAAGACAGAGATAAAGAAGATTGAAATATCTTCTTTCCTGATGAAACTATTCAAATCTTTGTCTTGAGAAGAAAATGGAATTACTTAGTAGTATAAATGAACTAAGTGGTGGAACTGTGTTTTCAGAAGTGAAGAAAAGTCTTCTGCAGTTGTGATGATGTCATGAGATATTCATGATTTTCCTCACAACTAAAGTATTTAAAAACATATGTATTTTTATTGGTTTCCATGTTAATGAGTTATGTATTTAGTAATTTTATATAATCCTAGGATTTATAGAGTTTTGATGTATAAAGAGAAAGGTAGTTTCTCTAGCTCTTTAAACAACGTTTGATGAATTAGAGTGGGGGCTTTTAGTAGGTGATGAATTGAGGAAAATGTTGATATTTTAGCAACAAATTAGAAAATATTCAAATACAGTTATCCTTCCACATTGTGACTTTCCCCCATCATGGTTTTGATATATCAAGGGCTGGCATAAGAAATTAAATGGGAATTCTGGGGGAGTTTTGTGGAAGCCCACAGATGCCACACAAAAGCCAGCAGACAATACAGAGCCTATGACCAAATGCTTAACCCAAATTTTACAATAAGGTACTGTAAATACCCCATAAAAGAAAAAGAAAAAATTCAGACTTCAGGCAGGCCAAAAAATTTTACATGGATTTTCCAGATTGCAAAAGTGCTTCACCCCTAACCTCTGTGATGTGGAAGGGGTAACAGTATACCCCTTGATTACCTTAGAATTTCAGATGATGAGTTTAAATATAAAAATAATACAAAAATAGTAGGCTGAGTTGACCACAGACATTGTATAACCCTGCTGTATATATGAGTGTGTACATGTGTATACATGTATCAATCAGGTTTGGGTCATATATATCTCTTTCTATACCGATATGCGTATATCTAGGTATATCTAGCCATCTAGTCATTAGATTGCATTTGTTTTTAAATAACAATAATGTGATATTCAATCATATTTGTTGCATAAGAGACTTCGAGAGCTGATAGAAAAGTTTGGTTCCTGAGGTTCAGAGTGTGGGACCTGGTACTTAGATTTCTGCTGTTCAATTTCGAAGCTTTAATGTCACAAGAAATTCTTAATAATCCTAGGACCTCTAAGACTGTCCGAATTAGGATTCAAGTGAACCCCAACATTTCTGACTCTTCCTGTGACCTAAATTATATGTCTGTTGGCTCAAGACCACCCATGCACACACAGCAGAAAATTGGAGCGGCAAAAAGGAAAGAGCCCTCAGGATGAGATTTTCTTTGCCAATGCTGTTGCTTTCAACTACCTTGGACTCTGAAACCTCCCTGACTTGACCTTTTGAGACATGCTGCATCCTTCAAGCTTTGATTTCCTAAGAATCAATCTCTTGACTGTTTCAACTTTCAACTTAACTGTTCCTTTTTCCTTGTTAAGAGAGGCAGCCTGGTGTATTGCTGATAAGAGCGTTGTACCTGAAATTAGGAAAACCAGATTCTAATATCACCTCAGATCCTTACTGTGACAAGTCTCTTAACCTCTCTTGACCTTAATTTCTTCTTTGTTAAAATGGGATTAATAATTAGACTTGCCACAGAGTTGTGCACACCTGACAAAGGTATCAGGGCTAGTGTACTATGTCAGTTACTTGAAGTGGGATAGGGCAATCAATTGATTCAATTGTCCCCTGTTCTTACATTTGTGAAAAACATTGCTATTGACATTTTTAAAGTAACCATATCTGTTTAAAACAGATATTCTCCAAGATCACTTACTTCAGGTTTTAAAGGAGGTGACTTCATTCTCAGTCAATATTAATTTTAAACCTATCTTCATGATTTTATGGACTTCCCATCACGTCCTTTGTCATTCCAAACCAATGAACTCCAATTTTAAAGTCTATTCATTGAGCAACCCTTCCATTTCTTGAATCAATTTAGTTATTTCTCTCTGAATCTTTTCTAACTTTTTTTTTAACTTTGAGGTATATTGACTAGAACCTTGTATCATATTTCAATCTTTATAAGAGGGGAAGAATGTGCTTTCCATTTTGTATCCAGTTCATTTTGTGCTGATGCTATAATTTTGTTGGCCTTTTTGAAAGTTTTGAAAGTGGAACAGCTAACAATGCTTGGCTACCCTCAAACCCCTTTTGTCAGGTCACAATTTAAAGGCAATGATTTTTTTAAAAACATAGTTTATATATGTTTTTTCTGTATACATAATATTTCAGTGTGGGCAAGTAAAAAATAATCTGTCATTTCTATTGCTGCTTTAGTACCTAAATGTCATCCTGGGGCTTATTAGAGTTGGTTCAACATTTTACTGTTGAATGCAGGAATTCTTCACTTTTGAGAGGATCCTGAATTCCTTTGGTAGTCCAGTGAAACCTGTGGACACTTTAGAATAATGTGTTTTCTTTTGGTTTCTTTTTGGGGGTTTTTTAGGCAATTGCGGTTAAGTGACTTGCCCAGGGTCACACAACTAGTAAGTGTCAAGTGTTTGGTCTGAGGCCGAATTTGAACTCAGGTCCTCCTGACTTTGGGGCCAGTGCTCTATCCACTGCGCCACCTAGCTGCCCCTAGAATAATATTTTTAAATGTGTAAAATAAAATGCATAGGATGACAAAAGAAACTGATTATATTGAAATAGTTATCATAATATCTTGAAAAAATTCATGGACCTCAAGCTAAGAACCCCTGATTTAACTTAGCATCCTCTTCAAATCTCAAAATGTCATTGTATACTCCCTCCTTTTGATTATCTAGAAAACTGTTAAATTCAACAAGTGGCAGGTCTAATCCCTAGGGAATCCAGCTATTCACATCTCCTTCAACTCTGTTCATTACTACATGTAGTTTCCTGCCTTTAAGTTATTTCTCCAAGAATAATAAAATGTTCCCCTTGATTTTTGTTGTTATTTTAACAGTCTTTGGTCTATTGAAATTTCAAAGAGTTTCTGAAAAATTCCTTAAGAAATTTTATCTACCACTAATTACTTTGGTTGCTCCAAATGTCTCCAATATGTCTATATTCCAGTACCTGCCACAACCATATGGCATAAGCATGATTTGTTTAATTGACTTGTAGCTTATAATTAGGCCCCCTGCCTCCTTCAAATCACAAAAATACATTTTCTTAGTGCGTGCAACAAAATGAGATCTGTGTTTACAGGCAAAAATAATTTTCTGAGATAATAAATACCCCATGACAAGCAGCATAAACCCCCCCAATAAAAAAGAAAAGTTTGTTCACACACACACACACACACACACACACACACACACACACACCCTGAAAGGGAATCTAGTAAGGAACATTATTATGTCTATGTTTTCAGTTTCCAAGAGCAGGAACTACATTAAGTAATAGGAGACTTATCAGTTTTAAAATGTACTCTACAATAGCTACACTGATTCAATAATATTTAAAATGAGAACAGATACCTTCATGTTGGAACTGCATCTATATTTTGCCTATATGTGAGGCCCTTTTCCTTCACTGTTGGTAACATTCTGAGATGCTTGAAACTGGATTCTGTTCTTTTCTTCAAGAGGGAAAATTATATTGTTAGAGGGTTGTGAGTAAGAACAAAATGGTTGCCATTCTAGACTACCTGCACACATCGAGAACCACATAATTACCTGGATAATTCAGGCCTTGAACTCTTCTTTCAATTAAATTAACATCATGATTCCTCTGTGCATTTACTCTGTGTGCTTGAATCATTGTTTTCTAGTAAGCAAATTGCTAAGCTCACTATCAGTAAGAAAGCAGCTGGAAAGAATGGTGATTAAGAGCAGGCTTCACCATAGTCTTGAAATTTGATATATGGATTAACTGTGTTCAGTTGATCAGACCATTACTGTTTGAATGACTGATGTGGTAGAGCTGATAATCTGTTTCTTTGGTGTTATAAATATGGAATGAACCAGAGATTTTACTGATGTAGGAAATTCCTGGATGAGGAAGAACTTTCTACTCATGCTGGTGAGCACCTTCTCTGCAATTTACAGTTTTTTTAGAGTTGCTTAGAGCACTGAGAAATTAAGTAACTTGTCCAGGATCACACAGCCAGTATCTGTCAGAAGTAGGACTTTGAATCCACATTTTCCAGACTCTAAGACCAGCTCCTTATGCAGTATGTCATGCTGTCTCTAATATTTGGTGTTATACATTTAGAAAAGAGAAAGAGAACAGCATAGGTTTCAAATGTCATCCTTATGACATAAATATTTTAAAATATCTTTATTGGGGGGGAAGCTAGGTGGTGCAGTGGATAGAGCTCCAGCCCTTAAGTCAGGAGGACCTGAGTTCAAATCCAACCTCAGACACATAGCATTAGCTGTATGTCCCAGGGCAAGTCACTTAACCCCATTGCCTAGCCAAAAACAAAGATGTCCTTCAAAATATCTTTATTGGAGGGTTTCCTTACAGGTCCAGGAAGGAAAGAGGAAGGCAGGAAGGAAATACTTACTAAGTTCCTACTATGTGCCAGGCCCTATGCTAAGCACTTTACAAATATTACTTCACTTGAGCCTTGCAACAACCGAAGAAGGTAGGTGCTATTATTATGTCCATTTTATAGTTTGTGGAAACTGAGGCAAACAAGTTAAGTGACTTGCCCAAGATCACACAGCTAGGGAGTATCTGAGTCTAGTTTTAAACTATAGTATTCTTGACTCTGAGTCTAGTGCTTTCTCTACTGTGCCACCTAGCAGAATTACAATATTGACATCACTAATCTTTGTAAGAAGTGGGAAAATTAGAAATTCCCATGTCTTTTGTATGAAAAAAGCTGTTCCATTTCTGACTAGATTGTTTAACTGGATTTACCTTTTATAGTCATTTCCCAGAATTCCATTATGTTTGTTTGATTTCATTCATTCATACAACAAACATTTTTTAAGCTTGCTGGGTATAGAGCATTATGCTAGGTGCTGGAAGAAATAAAATGTTTAGATTAGATGCATTCAGTGAACTTGTGGCAGTGTGCAAATCATCTGAAGCAAGGAATAGTTTCATTACAGCAACAGTCATATTTGTGGCCTTCTATTGAGTTTGGCCCCATGAAATTGGATTGAGCTAGTTTAGTTTCCTTACTTTTAGTTAATTCTATTTCAGCTGAGTGCTGCATTTTGTGCAATATACATACATATATACATATATATATGTATATGTATATATGTATATATACATATATATGTTTCATTGCTCTTTTTATTGTATTTTTAATTTTTTGGTTTTTTAAGAATGGATATTACTCCAAGGAAACATGCAGGAAAAAAAATAGCTCTTAAAAAGCACGTTTCAGTGGTGGTTAGAGCTATTACAATAACTGTCAGTGTAAGGAAGTCAAGCATTTCAAGGATCATTCAAGCCCATAATGAAACAGGATCATTTATACCACAGAGCCAAGGGAAGTGTGGTCAAAAATGAAAAATTACCCCAAGAGCTGATAAACTATTGCTTCAAAACAACTGGATTAATTCTCAGAAGACAAGCAAAGACCTTCAGAAGGACTTGGTAGCTGGAGGAATTGCTGCTGATTCCTCTACAATACATCATAAGCTTCTTGAAGTTGAAAGAACAGTGAGACCAATTTAAAAAAAAAAAAAGGCGGCTGCTAACCAAGGCCACAAAGAAAAAAACATTTCATTGACAAAACAATGCAAAGACTAGAATACTAAAGAATACTAATAAAACTTATTTTTTTCATTCAAGGCTATAAATTGTCATCAAATTGTCATAAATCAAATGACAATCAAAATTATCATCAGAAGTCCAGACAGATCTGAGTATCTCTATCAGACTATAAAACATCAACCCCCAAAACTGTTTGGGGATTTTTTTTTTACTCCTGGTGGGCCTGGAAGTCTTGTCCCCATTGAGGCAATGATGAACTCTGATAAATATATACTGGTATGTTGGGAAGTAGAATTGTTCTGAAATAACAGAAATTCCCAAATGGAGATAGAATATTGCAACACAACCTGGCACCTTTCCATATATCACCAAAGGTTAAGAAAAGTATCCAAGAGCTCGAGATAAACATGTTTCAATGTCTGGAAACTTGCCTGATTCAAACTCCATTGAAAACCTATTAGCTAAAAGAAAGGATAGACTTAGAAAAATATGTGGTTTCATATGGAAAAATTATAGAATATGTGTAAAAGTCTTATGAATTCAATGCCAAATCATATAAAAATAATTGATTGCAGCTAAAGGGGGAAATAATGAATATAAACATTTATTAAAGATGTAGAAAGTTTTAAGGTTTATTGTATGCCAATAAATTTAGCTATTTTTACTTTGTCCTAGATAACTCAAATGCCACCATAGTCATTACAATGTTAAACTGTTCTTGAATGACTTTAGTTTTTTTCTCATCTTCCCTACTTATTAACTGTTTTTCAACTGTTGAGCTGGCCAGAGAAAATTCACACCCCCACCCCCACCAAAGAGTCCAGTTTATAGAAGTCATTCACCAACCTAGCTTCACCTTCATGCTGAAAGCTGCTAAGCTTGGTCCAGATCACTTCGGATATATTTGGGAATGCTTTCTACGGAGGTATTTTAACACCAATAATTAATTCTATCATCCTTTACCTAATTCCATCTATTCACTATCTGCCCTACCTATAACTCCTTATGGTCCTTCTGGTCCATATAGCTTCCTTCCCAAACTTCTAATCACTATTAACTTAAATTATAACACTAAGTAAAAACGTCCCCCATCTTCCCCCATTCCTATCCTTTTATCCTAATCTAGCTCAGAACTACTTATTAGGAGACACCAACCCTACCCCTACTTTCTGTACTAAATCATTCCATTCTATCCACTTGAACTTCTGTTTTATTATCAATAATTTAACTTCACTTTGTCTTTGATGTTTTTTGTGATTTTTTTTCTATCTTCCTTCTTCAACAAAAACTTAGTTTTGCCTTTCAAGATCTTCATATAGGAGTATAGGTTGTGCTCTGGGAAGAGTAGTACCTCTGGTGTGAGGGCTGCTGAGCCCTTTTCAGGGCTGCTTTCTACCTTTGGTGTCTACCTGAATCACCCACCTGTGGCTCCAAGAAACTGTAGCATGTGCAGTAGTCACACCCTGGTAAAGCATTTAGGCAGACAGACTTTAAACCAGACTAAGGGTAACCAACACGTCTCAAACCCTTCAGTGAGTTAGGGGGATGTCTATCCCAAGCATGTGAAGACATCCATCAGCAGAATTGGAGAATAAGAACAATTTGTTCCAGTGACCATGAAGATGGCTGAAGGAGATGCCGTGGAGAGCATAGAGCTTGGTCAAACATCAAAGATGCCAAGGTCATCTACTATGTCCCAAGCTGTCACCAGTCTCTTGATTTTGTCTTGCTACTGTGTGATGATGACTGTAAGAGAGAGTGAGATTGAAGATTTTGTGCAACTCTGCCTCATTTAAGTCCAATTTATGTGTGAATTAAAAGACATTACTCATACCGTTTTACCATTTTTACCTATGTCAAAGTCCTGTGGCGCCAGGCAAGTGATGAAGCAGCAGGTGTGGATATACTGGAAGCTGTAGTCACAACCCTGCACACAGGTGGTCCAGGACATAAAGTCATCTTCTCACTGGAAGCAGCAGTGAGATTTGGCAGCACCCAGGGTATCTGAACAGCCTTTTTGAAGGACTGCACTGTTTAGCTCCTGGTATGAGGAAGGAACTGGAAAAGGTTCCCTATAAATTGCCTGCTTCACCCAACCATGGTCTGCTTACTGTGATAGGTGGGGATCCAACTCTGCATTGAATACACAAAAATGTACAAAAACTTCTGCAAAAATGATTCTACTCACCATTGGTATATGGAATGTGCCCATGTTTATGGACAACATGAAATCTAGAAGACCTGAAAGATGAACAGCTCTTGTTGTGAGAGAACTCAGCAGGTATCACATCCCAATAGCAGCCCTGAAAGAAACAAGGCTGGTAAATGAAGGCCAGCTTACCAAAGTCGGAGCTGAATACACATTTTTCTGGAGTGGCTGAAGTGAAGGGGAGTGCTATGAAACTGGCATACATTTTGCATTCAAAACTAATCTACTTAACAAGCTTGTGTACCTACCAAAAGGAGCGAACAACAGAATCATGAAAATTTGATTTCCACTTGCAGGAAAACTCTACACCACCAGCATCAGTGCCTGTGCTCCCACCATGACAAACCCTTATAAGGTCAAAGAAAAATATTATGAAAACCTGGAGACTCTCATCATTGATGTGCTGAAAGAGGACAAACCTATAATTCTGGGTGACTTTAATGCAAGAGTAGGTACAGATGACCAGACATGGCAGAGAGTCCTTGGGAAGACTGGAATCAGAAATAGCAAAACAATGGTAACTTACTTCTGAAGACTTGTGCATCTCATCACCTCCTCATCACCAACACTGTCTTCTGTTCATCTAAATACAATAAAACTTCATGGATTCATCCTCTCAGCAAACACTGTCATTTAATAGTAATTGTAAGAAGAGACAGGGTATGAGAGTGACAAAAGCAATGTGTGATACATAGTGCTGGACTAATCATAGACTTATCCTCTCCAAGCTAAATATTAGCATTCAACAAAAGTGGCAGCCCCAAGGCAAGATGACTACCAGAAGACTTAATGTCAACAAATCAGAGCACTTTTCCAAGCAGGAACGTTTTGTTGCTAACTTGGAGGGAAACCCAAGCCAAAACACAGCAACACTGGAATAGAAAAGAAGTGGGCAGCTTTCAGAGATTTGGCATACAGTACTGCATTTACTTAAGTGGACCAGAACACTTGCAAACCTCAAGATTGGTTGATGAAAATGATGGGAAAATTCACAAGCTGCTAATGAAAATGAGAACTCCACAGGGTTTACCAGCAGGATAGTTAGTCTGTTATTAAAAAGGCAGCGTTTAACTCCATCAAAAATAAAGAGCAAGCGAAGCTTAAAGAGATGCAGGATTCTTGGCTCAGTAAGAAGGCAGATGACATTCAGTTTTACACTAATCATAACAATCTGAAGTTGTTTTATGATGCCCCGAAGGCCATTTATGGTTAAAGACCTATGGTGCATCTGAACTACTCAGTCCCAATGGAGCCACACTGAGTAGTGATAAGGATTTGATCCTGAAGAGATTGATGGCATGAACACTTCCACAGTGTTCTCAACAGACTGTCATCAGTCAACACTGAAGCCATTTTCTATATCTCAGGTTGAAGTCAGTCTCTCTCTAGCTGAATTTCCAACTGAATAAGAGATTTTGAATGCCAGTAGTCTCCTTTCATAAGGCAAAGTACCTGATTCTGATTCTATTCCAGCTGAGATTCACAAGGCATGGGGATTGCTCATACAAAAGCCTACTGAAATCTTTTGAGAAATATGGCAAGAGAATGTTATCCCCCAGGTATTCAAGGATGCCTCCATTATGTAACTATAAAGGTAAAGGAAATAGATTGTTCTGTGATAATCACAGAGGGAGTGGAGTCTCTCTCATTGTTGTTGTAGGCAAGATTCTTGCCAGAGTCCTCTTTAATTGCCTAGTCCTTCACCTGGAAGGTGGTCATCTACCCTAGAGCCAGTGTGGCTTCAGCAAGGCTTAAGGAACAGTTGATATAGTGTTTGCTGCCCAACAACTTCAGGAGGAATGCCAGGAGCAGAACAGAGGTCTGTACACAATGTTCATTGATATGACCAAGGACTTTGATACTGTCAGTCATGAGGGCTTGTGGAAAAATTATGTCAAAATCTGGTTTCCCAGAGAAGTTCATCAGTATTATACATCAGTTTCATGACTGCATGCTTGCCTGAGTTCTGGATAATGGACAATGCTCTCTCAATTTCCCAGTCACCCATGGAGGGAAGCTAGGCTGTGTGCTTGCTCCCATGCTTTTTAGCATGA